TGCCTTGGATCAATTACTGTTTGGGGTAAGTCTCTAGCTGTGTTTGCTAATGCTTTCTTAAGCATTACTGAGATTACAGAGATTAAAGATTGAGAAAAGAGTATAAGAGAGGGGATAAAAGAGAAAATTCAGTTATCTGGATATTAAATAGCATGTGACTGTACATTTGTTATGCTATAAGCTGTGAAGAGTAGCATTAACAGCATTTTTGATAAAAAATGTAGATTTTGAAAAGCTACTTTCCTTCTGCAGTTCCTTAAGATTCTCGCAGCATTGTTACCTGAACGATGTCTGGGCAGAGAAGGAATGAATGGCAGAAACATAGAATGGTGGCTATACTGTCTGCTTGGCCAGGTGCCGAATTCAAATATTATCAGCAATTATATTAATTTCAGTTTCACTAAGTGCATTAATTTCTATTGAATTATACTAAGGATTTGGGTTTCCTTTTAATTACTTTCTGGAGAAAACATTTTATTAAAGTGACCTTTTCTTAAAATGAGCAAAAAGTTGAAATAAATTATGGAGTTTTGGGAAGCTGAAATTTAATTAACTGGAGGATAGTCTATAGGTAATAATGACAAAAATAATCATCTAGATGCCAGTGAGCAGCTGAAATGAAAACCATATAACACAGTGTCCACAAAGCTTGATTTATATTCTCAAACCAGCTTTAGTCACACACACAAAAAGCCTCTCCAAGAAAGTATCATTTCTTCAGCCTATGTTTTCAGGCTCGTTTGAATTCTGCTGGCTTGGCTAAGCTAAAGGCAATTCCTGGCAGCAGTATTTAAGCATATTCATTAAGTGCAATACTATATCATTGCTTTAAAAACATAGTGGATTGTAAATAAACAGTGAACATGATGACTCCACAAAAGCAAACACGGCACTAAACAGTCGTTTAGCTGCAGGCAATTTCAATTGTTAATGCTTTTACTGGGTGCTGGTTTCAGCAGTTTTGAAGGTCTTTCTCCTAGCAGTGCTGTTCTGACGTCGGGTTGCTGTTGCCTGGTGCCTGGGGTTGAATCAATCTGTATGTAAGTCGGGAGAGTGCTTCCAGACTACTCCTATAGTAACCCAGTCGTGGCAGTGGGTCTTGCTGACAGGAACTTTCACTTAATTTTGGAATAAATATTTTATCCGTTCAATTGAAATAAAATCCCTTTGATGTGATCATGCTTTGCTCTTATCAAGACTGTCGTTCTAGTGCGCTGTTAGAGCAGTGCTGGTTTCAAAGGATGGGGTTCAGCCCCTGTAGGTAGGAATATGCAGATTTCTGATTTACATCACTTTCACTGCTACTGCATTTTTATTTTCATTTTTTAATATAAAGTGGAAATATTACTCTGTGAGCAACCAGACAGATATAGGGGCTCTGGAAGCAGCTGAATCTTTTTTTTTTTTTCTTTTTTTTTTCATATTGTGTATTTGTAACAATCTCCCCAGTGTGGGTTCTTTCTAAAATTCTGTGTGAGCTCATACCACAGCCTTCTCCTCAGCTGCAGCTTGCTGGCCACTCCTTTTCATGAAACATAGGAATGGCATTATCTTTGAGTACTCTGTGTTGAGTTTGGTTGCTATTGTACAGTAAAGAGCACGGAAACTTCATTTCCTCAGAAAACAAGTTGAAATTGTATAATTCAGACTGTGTTTTACTACAGGCTTTGGTGCAGTTCCTAACCAGTTTGGAAGGTAAAGCCTACTTAAAAAACAAAAGTGCCGTACTGTTTATGAGGAATGCTAATCCGAAATAGCTACTTAGTGTAAAATGCAAAGCTCCTCATACTCAGGGTGAAATCTGTAGTCTGGATTTGAAGGAACCAGATTGTCACCCTGAGAATCTCACCTACATCTTCTACCCATTTTGTAAAGCTACATGGCAGCCTGAACTGCTCGTGTGTTATGTTGATGAATGCAGGATAAATTACAAGGACATTGTTTATACAGAACTCCCCTCTGCTAATCCCGGCCCTTCTACTTCATTGTTGCCGGAGACTGGATGCATAAGCACTATGAAGAAAGGTCTAATTTTCTCCATCTCATAGTGGCAGAAAATACTGTTTACCTAAACCAGAGGGATATTGTGAGCATTCTTTGTTATAATAGCCTGCTTTTAAATAATCTACCTCTAAAAAGAGATTGTTAAAAACAGTTAAAAAATAGTGTTTTGGAGGAGTTTAGCAAATAATATTTATATATTCATCTCGTACTGCTAGAGCAATGGTATTTGTTTTATTTTGTTGCATTTTCAGCTGAATAACAACGTTTCTTGATTTGAAGTTGCATCGCTGTAATGACCTTTGCTGAATGCTAAATTTTAGATTGCATTTACATATGAGACACTGCTATTTTGTTAAGTAGGAGACATATTATGAGGATAATCAGTTTATCTTAAGCTGTAATTCTATGTCTAGCAAGGATTCAAATTTCTAGGATGGCTAATGGCTTAGTGAAGTCTGGTAAAATGTCTTTGAGATAAATCCCAGCATAATGAGATCAGTTAGATCTAACTGTAAAATGGAAGGGAAGATTAATTTTAACTTTCAAACACACAGTTTGGTGCTTTGCTTTTTTATTTTACAGCTTGACAGAGATATATTTGAAATAGGGAATCCTGGAACTGGATGGATCTTTTGAATATGCATAAACTAAAAAGGGAGAAACTAATCTTAAGAAGAAAAAAAAAGCAACTAGCTTCATGTAGGGATAGATTTTCTATTCCCCAGAAACTAATTTGCCTTCAATGTAAATTCTCTGGTAAAAGGCTGTGCCTACATTGCAGATACAAAATGCTTGTGACATAGGTTATGTGGGTACTAAAATAGTATGGGCAGCAAAACAACAGTAAAAACAAAACAAGTTTCCACTTTTATTTTTAAATATATTCACTATGCTGTGCTTTTGTTTTTAGTATTTTCATGCAGTTCCAGTCCTAGAGATACAAACTGGATGGGCCCTTCTGCAGAATCAAAGCTTCTGTTTAAGCACACAGAATATGCCGTGGCAGTGAAAACTTTTTGGTCAGTCAGAATATTTTCATTCTCAATTGCTAAGGGAATAAGAACTTGCCCCCCCCCCCCCCCCCCAAAAAAAAAAAAAATATTCCAGAAAACAACAACAACAACAAAAACTAATATATTTTAATATGGTAACTTTTCTGAAATTGTCCCATGTTTTGGAGTCTGACGATGTACGTAATTGTGAATAACCTCCTCAAACTTTTGCTTCTGAGACAACTCTGGAGCTACTAGCAATCATCACTGTTTTTTTTTTCAACTCCTAGTACTTTTGTCACCTAAAATCTACATTAAAATTAATATTTCACGGGGGAGAGAACACCATTTCTGACAGCTCTTGTGAACTGACTCTGAATAATAGGATCTTGGCAGTTATAGAAGGTAACTCATACTGAGCAGAAAGATCCTCAGTTCTCACTTTACTTGAAGCTCAACATGCAAACAGAGCCCTGGCCAAGAGACAGAGTGACTGAGGACACTAGTCAACCCCAAGCACTGAGCTCATTCAGAATCTGGCTGCATATATTAAAAAGCAAAACACAGGAGGCACAAAAGGCAGACACTGAAGGAATTGGGGAGAAGTTGATACTACATCTAGAGTCCAAGATCCAGGTGCATTTCTGTTTCTTCAGGTCATCTACCCACAGCTCAGCTTTCTCTTTCTTTCTGGAGCAGAGCAAGACAGCAGTAGAAAAGCTCTGTAGTGTCTGTACTGAGGCAGAGGTTGTCACAACTACTGAGCTGCTGTCTGAGGCAGGGGGGAGATCCTGAGTTTGGAAAGTAGTACCAAAACCTAGTGCTTCCCTCATTGAGTGTTGTACAGATTTTATTTATTTATTTATTTAGAAATAGCATTTTGTTTCCACTGTGTGTTGCATTTAACACAGAGGGACTCAGACCCTCTGTGGTATTTCACCTCTCATCTCACCTCATTTTTGAGGGAGTATTTGATTAGCCATTAAAAATCACTTATCTCCAGCAGAAAAAAAAAAAAAAATTGAACAGGAAGTGGAGACTGACAGCACTGCTTTCTGCATGACTCTGCATGTTTATCTAATTCACACACTCAAAGCATGCCCAGGAACGATCTTTGGCACTGCAGTGAGATTCCCTGTACCAGTACAAGGCTAAAACACTTCCCAGCCCTCGTTTGGCTCTGGTACCACTCCTGCAAGCCGTGCCTGGCACTGAGCAGCCAGAGCACATGGGACTGCTCGCAGGGCTGCTCCCTGCCAGCTGGCCTTGGCAGAGCATCGTGTTTATTGGTGCAGATGAAGCTGTCCTATTCCTAGCAGTCCGGTCTTTTGGGTACATTCCATACGTCCAGAATACTTCATAAAACAAGACTTTAGATTATTATCTAAATAACTGGATTTCCCTTGTGAGCTTCATTCTGTCTAATGGAAAATGATGGGAAATGCTGAAGTGGCCTATCCTAACTGAATCCCACATGGCAATAGGAGGCTCAGCAAACCTCAGCAGGTGTAAAGCTCTACCCACAGCAGAGCACAGACTGACTAGTAAAACACACAGCTTTGAATGTAGTGAAGCTGACAGCGGTCTTTTAGGAAGAAAACTGACTTTCCTCAACTGTCTTGTTCTGGGAGTAGCATTAGAAGAGCAGAGTGCTTGTCACTTAGGCCTATTTTGTGGCAGTTTACAATTAACCATTAGTTTGAAGGCTGTTTGCTGGCACTTCCCACCGAAAACACGAATTGCAGGGGGAGCCGCGCTCCTGACGAGAGCACCAACTCGCCCACTCCCCAGGGCTACCCCCCTCAGCCGCCGGGACCCCCGCGAGGGCTAGAAAAAGGGCAGACAGAGACGAGGAGACAGCTTTTAATTGTTTTAATCTCTTAATTTATTGAGGACAAAGCAAGGGACAGCGACAGGGTGGACACATGACCAGTGACAGCTGCGGAAGTATCGGCGCTGCCTGAGGGGAGCGCTGAGGGGAGCGCTGAGGGGAGCGCTGAGGGGAGCCTGCGCAGCTCCCGCCGGAAGCGCCCGGCCACCACACAAAATGGCGGCGCCTACAGCTCGCTTAGCGGCGCGGCGGCTCTTCCTGCCCTGGCGTCCTCGCCTTTTGCGATCGCCCGGCCCGGGGAACCGGGTAGGCGGCGGGGCGAGGACGGGGGGGATCCACGGAGGGCCCCAGCGTCTCGGTGGCTGCCCGCGCTGGCGCTCGGGAGGCCGCGATGGGGGCGGCGGGGGGGTGGTGGTCTTGCTGGAGGCGGCGCGGTGCACGCTGGGAATTGTAGTCCTAGCGGGGGGGGCAGTGCGTGCGGCTGCCGCTGAGCATGGCGGGAGCTGTAGTCCTCGCCCGGCTGAGGGGAGGCGGGAGGGGGCGGCTGCCCCCTCATGGGGACCGGGCAGCGCCGGGCTGAGGGGTGCCGAGCCCCAGGGCTTGCTGCAGACTCCAGTCAATAAATAAATAAACAACACCAAAAGCCACCCTCCCCTGAGCAAACGGGTCTGACTCCATAGCTGCCGCTGTTTTGAATCACAGGACCATTAAAGTTGGAGAAGCCCTCCGAGATCACCGGGTCCAACCACCCCCTACCACCAATGCCACCACTAACCCATGTCCCCAAGCACCACGTCCAACCTCTCCTTGAACACCCCCAGGAACGGTGACTCCACCACCTCCCTGGGCAACCCGTCCCAGTGCCTGACTGCTCTTTCTGAGCAGAAATGGCTCCTCATTGCCAGCCTGAACCTCCCCTGGCACAACTCGAGGCCATTCCCTCTGGTCCTGTCACCAGTTCCCTGTGAGAAGAGGCCGACCCCCAGCTCCCCACACCTTCCTTTCAGGTAGCTACAAAGAGCAATAAGGCCTGCCCTGAGCCTCCTCTGCTCCAGAATAAACACCCCCAGTTTGCAGTCCTTGACATAATTCCTTGCATTGGATCTCCATTCACATTAGAAAACAGGTACCCAAAAAGATTTCAGATGCTAAAGGACATATTCAAGTTCCTACAGGTTTTCTGCCAGAACAGTTGGTTGTAGGGAAGGAGATGAAGTCTACTCCATTTTCATTGTTTTCATGTTTGTTTTTTTTTTCTTTTTTTTCTGAAGTCAGTTAATGTATTCCCAAATTAAATATTGGCAAATAACTCTGTGTAAAAAATATTTTTGAAAATGCATGCTTTAAAATAGATTTCTGAACTTACATTTAAGTTCAGGAATACATTTTTGGAAGTGCATACTAGGATATAACTTACAGTGTATACATGACTGATGTTTTTTTCTTACAGTCTGTACATGTAGGAACAGGCAGGTTCAGAGTTTCCAAGGCAGCAACAGAAGTAGTCTTAAATGTTCCTGAAACTAGGGTGAGTCCTCTGGAAAATGGCTTGCAAGTAGCTTCTGAAGACTCTGGACTTTCAACATGCACAGTAGGTAACTTGTAAAGGGAATGTTTTTTCATAATTTTATGTATGTTTGTTTCCTTGTGGAACTAAGTTGGATTCTATCAATGTTTATTAGCAATTATTGTTAAGTTACAAGATGGGAAATGAAGGTTTTCCTAAGTGATTTGTGATTCGATTTTTGTGAAGATCATTTTTTTTTTCCTTGAAAACCTGGTTTAACCTAAGGAAAAAGTTGTTTAAAAGTAGGTCTTGAAAATCTAAGTTTGTTTTGTACAGGAAAAACAGCAAAGCTGCATGATTGGCTGATAAAATGTTTTCTTTTTTTCCCTGATGAGGTTGGACTTTGGATTGATGCTGGAAGCAGGTATGAAAATGAGAAGAACAATGGAACTGCTCACTTCCTTGAGCATATGGCTTTCAAGGTGAGTATGAGTATTGGCTTACAAATTTATGATGAATTTCTAAGCTAGTTATTGTTAGAGATCAGTGATGGAACGTTGTCAGAATTGTCTAAATACAGTTTACAAAACGAGAAGAGAGGGGAAACCAACTCAGACTTGGTTTCAGCTAGAAAATGAAGCGAAATTCCTAGTCCCTTGGAGATGGTACACAACTATACATTAGTAACACACCTCTATTTTTAACTTGCTTTTAACTTGTAGTATTCTTAAGACACACAGTCTACCTTTTGCCAGCTTTTTATTTTCATTTGGGAACATAGTAGGGTTTATATTTGACTTTCAACATGGGAGAGATTAGCAAGCCAGTTTCCATTTCAGAAGACTTTCTTCTTTTTGGCTTTGACTTTTGCAGACAAACAGGAGTAATGATGAGTAGGTGAATTCAAGGATTTAATCTGACTTTTTTATTGTTTTGTTTCAGGGAACAAAAAAGAGATCTCAGTTAGACCTTGAACTAGAAATTGAGAACATGGGAGCTCATCTGAATGCCTATACGTCCAGGGAACAAACAGTGTATTATGCAAAGGCTTTTTCAAAAGATTTACCAAGAGGTAACTGCTTTTATTCATTAGAGAAGTGGCAAAGACCAAAAATGCTTATCCACCTCCTGACAATGCATAAGAGTGATGCTTTTGCAGCCTAACAGTCCCATCTTTCCTGGGCAACGAGTACCTTCTTCAACTTCACAGGAATGTGAGGATGCAGATTTGGAAAGGAATGTGCCAACAATGAAGTTGATACTTGAAACATTTTTGTCAGCTAGATTTTTTCTCCCTACCCCAGAAGTGCCTTTTGGACTTCTCCCTTCCTGCAGAACAAGTCTCTCTTTTAAAGTAAAGCTGTAGCATTTAGCATTCTCATTTAAAAAAAAAATGTAGAAGTTTTTAAAATTCCAAACTGCCAATCTTATTACTACATTTTGGGTCACTTGGGCTTTGGGGTGGGTTTTACTTTTAAAACCAGATTTTTCTGGTAGCCTGAAAATAATTTCCATTCCTATCTTTATTTTCATTTAGCTGTGGAAATTCTTGCTGACATAATTCAGAACAGCACCCTGGGAGAAGCAGAGATTGAGCGTGAGCGAGGAGTTATACTTCGAGAGATGCAAGAGGTTGAAACCAATTTACAGGAAGTTGTCTTTGATTACCTTCATGCTACAGCCTATCAGAACACAGCCCTAGGAAGGACGATTTTAGGACCCACGGAAAACATCAAGTATGTGCAAGTTTGTGGTTGTCTTTAATTGTTGGCAACTTCTCTATATTTAAAAGATCCCTCTGAAAATGTGGGGAACAACTTCAGCTGTAATTTTTACTCTGAAAGGTAGATGAAGTTGTGCTGGATGTAACTAAGAATTCCCATATTGCTTTAGTTCTACTTTATGCAGGCGTTACGATGAAGTTTATGTATTTATTGCACATCTTCATTATTTGACATTACTTTCTCCTGTTTATTAAAAATGCACTGACACAAAATTGTAAGCGCTTCTTTTTCCCATCAGTCAGGTGTTGGCGTTACCAGAAATAAAACTGCGTTCACACTGCTCTTTCAGACCTTGTTTATACTGATTCAGACCAGGAGATTACTAAGCGTACTGGTTTAAAATTGGCATGGGATCATTAGTGGATCTTATCACTCACCTGAGTGAGATTAACAGGGAGCGGAGTTGTAATTCCTGTTCTTTATCAGGAAGCTATAACAGCTTTGAAAGGAAAAATGTATAAAGGTCCACTTTCCTGTTCAGGAAGCTGTCCTTATTTTAGCTTTTTGCATCTGTGCACTGGCAGAACTTATAATTACTCTGATACTATATTATTCTGTATTTCTATTTCTTCTTGTAAAAAAAAAAAAACTTTACTGACATGGCAGTGATGTTTCCTTGACTGTTTCCAGATCCATAAACCGCAATGACTTGGTGGAGTACATAACAACACATTACAAAGGACCCAGAATAGTCCTGGCTGCTGCTGGAGGTCTGTATGAGATATTCACCCTTGGTCATGTGAAACTGTAGTTAAAGCCACAGACCTTTAAGTTTTAGGGAGCAACGTGCTGAATTGCCCATTGTTCGGTACGTCCTGGATGTTCATTGTTAGCCCTGCATGTTTAGTTTGTGCCTTCATAGCCTTTGAACTTCTGTTCCCTTTTCCCTCAGTAAAGTTTCAGAAACATCCTTAAAACAATAACTTGAAGTGGGTAAGGTCATTTTTCCATCTGGGCACGAAAAGAAGGGCCTAGAAGGAATTCTGTATGGAAAGAGGAGAAGCAAGAAAAGCAGAGAGAGGGAGAAATAATTTTGAGGCTTGAAATAGAGAGCAAACAGCTTGATTTGGAGTATGATCATGATCTTACTCTGCATAACGGAGTGCTGGGAGAAATCTGAAAGCGTGGTGTTAACGGGGGGGACCCATAAGTTGCTGGTTGGTTGAGCCTTCAAACTGCGTAGCAAGTTAAATGAACTGTTCACAGAGTAACATGACAAAGTGTGTGAAACATCTTTGTTCAGGGGTCTGTCACGATGAGCTACTTGACCTTGCCAAATGCCACTTCGGTAACTTGCCGTCTGCTCCGGAAGGAGGGCTGCCACCCCTGCCACCTTGCAGCTTCACGGGCAGCGAGGTAAGCAGCTCAATGGCTTTTTGAGGCGGCCCTTTATCCCCTGCGAGCACGCTGCCTGCTGAGGAGAGCTTCTCAGCTGCACACTTAGCAGATTACAAGGCTTCTTGCCCACACTGAGGGCAACTGGAGTAGCTGCTTTCCAAGCAGGAATTTCCAACTTTTCTTGGGCAAGCCTCACTGCCACCACTTTCTCTGTCTTACCAGTTTCTGAGGGAATACCTCCCTTACCCCTGCTGCTGCTTTCCTTTTAGTGCCTGGCCTGCACTGTGAGAGCATTTTCTCTTACTGGGAATCACTGATTTAAAGGGTATGGCAGAAAGCCAAGGCATCTGTGTTCCATTCCCAGTGGTATTCAGGTTTTGAAAAGTCCTCAACTTTCCTTGCTGCTGTTTGTCATCAATTTCTCTTCATGTTTGTGGCATTGGGCTGGAAGTGTCTGTCTCCTGACATTTAGCTTGCCGTGTATGTTACCGCGTGCAGGTCGCCCTACAGCCACTTTCGTGTGCTCCCACAGATCCGTATAAGAGACGACAAGATGCCCTTGGCGCACCTGGCGATAGCCGTGGAAGCAGCTGGCTGGGCTGACCCGGACACGATCCCCCTCATGGTAGCAAACACCCTGATAGGTAACTGGGACCGCTCCTTCGGAGGAGGCGTGGTGAGTGAACCTGCAAGCTCCTTCCTGCTGTTCACGAGGTTGTCTGAGTGGGGTGCTGCCAATACTGCCCCCCTCAGTTGTAACTGAGGGCGTTGACGTGACATCGGAACACGGGGGTTATCAGTAACCGTCCCTTTCCTGAACCTTTGTGGCTTTATGACCTGGGCTGTTATTTGGAAGCTGTTTGGACTACATGCAAGGGAAGAAATTGTTGAGATGAAGAACTGATGCTTGACTGTGTAGGTTCTGCTGGAGCCTGTGATACCACTGCATGTTCTGTCGCATTGAAATGAAAACGGGAGACTAGCAAGCTTTCAGAAAATGAATGAAATATGTTTTCTCTTGCTTCAGCAGAACTTATCCAGTAAGCTTGCTCAGACTGCCTGCCATGGGAACTTGTGTCATAGTTTCCAGTCCTTCAACACCTGCTACACTGATACGGGGCTGTGGGGCCTCTACATGGTCTGTGAGCCATCAACTATCCAGGACATGGTGCACTTTGTTCAGAGAGAATGGTAAGCAAACAATGGTTTCCATAAAAGGAGTATTTTCTGTGGACAAATAAACTTTTAAAAATATTAATTACTTAAAGAGACTATTTCTCTGCTTAGGCTTGCCTGGGAAAAATAAATCCATCTAGTTTTAAACTTTGGCACTTGAGATGCACAGTCCCAGCAGCCAGTTTCTGGCACCCTTACTTAGAATGAATAGTTTAGGGTTTAGGCTTGTTTTTTGCCCTAGAATAAGTGCTACTACTGCTAACTACAGTTCACATTGCTCTTACAAGGTAAATAGGCAGTGATTTTCTTTTTGTCTCACAAGTGTCAGGAGTTCTAAAAATGTGTTAAACCCGTTAGAATGCGATTAAGTCAGCATGCAGTACCCAGGAACTGCATGTTTGACAACTGAAAGTAATTATTCAGAATAATGAATGAGCATAATGAGAGTGCAATTAGCTTTAAATACCATTACTAGTTAACCGTTCTACGGTTACTGGCCCACGTGGCACACCAGGTGGTGGTGTTACACAGAGCTCTAGTGAGTACATGAGAAAATGAAATTATGTCAAGTAAAGGAGCTGTTATATGGAATCTTGAAACCTGTGACTAGAGATATTTTCAAATTAGATTTAAGGCCTTAGACGAATGAAATCATGTCCGTAGGTGCACTTCTAAGACTTGAACTGCAGATGTGATTAGAAACAGACGTGTTATTTAAGGCCATTGACTTGAAGCGGCTGCAGTTAAAACTTGAAACTGCGGAGTTTCTTTAATCACACAGAGCACTTCTCATGTACCATTATTCTGAGACCTCTGTAAACAACTCTTAGGTAAAAATATCATTTTAGCTGCCTGTTTGCTGGAGTTCAGCACCAGGGAAGATGTGAACCATTCTTGTGCTATAATGTGTTAAGCTACCTACAGCATCCCTCTGTCCTCCTAGTAGTCTTCTCTCTGAAGTGTGATGTTATTTATACAGTTCCCATCTCTTCCCAAGAGCCAGGCAGTAACGGCTTGCCTTCTGGGCTAATTACCTCTAATTGCTTGGTTCCCATTATCTTACCAACAGCCATGCTCAAGCTAGCAAGCATGGACTGCACGTGGCTCAAAACATTAATAAAATGAAATGCAGCTCTTCTAAGAGGAAAAACTTGCTTTTAGACTGAATATTGGTATGCTTCCAGAAAAACACTATCTTTAAGCTGCTTCTAGGAGTCCTAGAGCTTATTTTCATACCAAGAACTCTTACCAGCTCTGGCTGTAGAAAAAACATGTGTGGGTAGATATACTCAGTGCTTGTGGTAAAGAGGTACACAACCGTTAATGCTACAGGTTAGCATTATTTAATGCTTTTGGATTTAAACTGTTTTTCAGGATGAGACTTTGCACGAGTGTTACAGAAAATGAAGTAGCTCGAGCAAAAAATCTTCTAAAGACAAATATGCTGCTACAACTTGATGGTGAGAACCAGATTGCTTTTTATTCTTACTTCCTGCTACTCTGTGCTGATAACTGAAGTGAGTTTTCCTGTTTTAGGCTCCACCCCAATCTGTGAAGACATCGGAAGACAAATGCTCTGTTATAAGCGCAGAATCCCAATTCCAGAACTTGAAGCGAGGATTGAAGTAAGTGGCACTCCTGCTGAAAGTCTTTGATTAGGCCCTTACTGTAGTAATTTAATTTCTTATTTGTTATAGGAAGAAACAGTAGAGTTTAGACCGTCTCCAAGGGAGAAACCTTCTAACTGTTCTGGCACCTGTTCCTCTGGATTATACAAAAGAAATTAAGAACACTGACTTAATACTTATTTTAAGACAGGTTTAGTAACAAAATATGTCTGTCTCTAACCCTTTCAGGCTATTGATGCCCAGACTATTAGAGAAGTTTGCAAGAAGTACATCTATGATAAGCATCCTGCAGTTGCTGCTGTGGGTATGTTGTCTAAGCTCACCTTCTGTAACTCCTCCACCCTCTCTCTTATCAGTCTAGCATGTGTCATGGTCAACTTTCTTTAAATTCCAGGTCCAATTGAACAACTTCCAGAGTATAACAAAATCTGCAGTGGCATGTGTTGACGTCGTGAGTAGTGAACAAGAACTTCCAGTATGTTTGAGCTTTAAGAGAAAAAAAACACACTGCTTTTGACTTCAAAAAATGCATTTGAGATTAAAACTCAAACACCAACCATAGTCCTGTGTATCTGTACAACTAAGGAGAGAATGAAAACGTGTATAGTATTTGCATTTTTATTATAAAACAAAGATTGTCAGTAAAAGTCATTTCTTGACTTTAGTAGCATTCATCACTTGTTCTTGAGCAGCTTTCTTTGCCTTGACCATTTCAACGAGTTCCTGGAGATGGAGGGAAAAACAAAAACTTATTTAAAATGCATACCTTAGGAATGCCATGGTTTTGAGCATTTGTAATCAGCCTGATGAACCAGTGTACTAGCTCTCAACACCGTGAGGAATCCCGATAGTTTAATACCATAAAAAATTTCTCCTGGAAACAAATTAATACCGACACAGTGTCGAAGATCAGTGCTCATCTACTTCCCCAGTAGTACAAAAGGGAATACAAAGGGGGCTAGGGATAGGACTTCACACCATCTCCAAGAAGGTGCTGAAATTTTAAGACAAATTTCAAGGGACAGACTTCTTCCCAGCTTCCAGTTTTAGTACTTACACTGAAGAAAACCTTATTTCTACTGCTTTTCTGGGTTAAAAACAACAAAATTCTCCGTAAAGTGCTATCTTCTGCTAATTTGTGGTTGTCGGAATACTGTCTTGGGGGAGGGATGGCAAAAGTAAAAGCACTGGACTCTAACAAAACCTGAGCTAATTACAATCCTAGAAGGAGGATAAGAAAGCCTTACCTTATATCGCTTCATGCAGTCCTTTTTTGAGCGGCCTGGGACAGCTGCTGCTATTTTCTCCCATCTTTCAGCAGTATTTACTGGATAAGTCTTCAGTGCTTGTTCTAAAAGCTTTTGTTCTTCTGTAGTCCAAGGGGATGAATCTAAAGATGATCCTGTTTTCAAAATCAAAAGTGACAGTAAAAATACATTTAGTAATGACTCCTTGAGGTAAGTGTAAGAAAATACTGTGAAAATACAATTGATTTTAAGTCCTTGCAGCTCTGTGATACCACCGATTTGATTTAAGGGATATCCAGTACTAAAGTCTGGAAAAAAAGCAACACTGAAACAGACTGGCCAAAGTTGCAGCCAGGATATTTAAATACAGCAGGGAGACAGGAAGGTAACAACTTGTTGTCAGCCAGGTGTTAGATAACCATGGCTGTCCTGTGAAACCACATTCCTAGGGCAGCAATGTTGTTCTTCCTTTTATATTCCAGTAAGGAACCAGCCTGCTGCAAGGCTCTGGAAAGTTTGATGGGGGTGTCTGGGGTTTAACAGGAGACCAACGCTTAGCTGTAGCTATATCTGAACCTATATCTCAAGTGCAGCCCCTCAGGCCTGCTCTTGCCTGAAAACATAGCACCTTCCGAGGAACAAATGATCTCAGCATCTGACTTAAACCTGTTGGCTCCCCAGGAAGCACTCCGAATTGTCACTGACTGCCTTGGTTTGCACTAAATGTACCAGAAACCCTCAAATTAAATCCAGTAACTGAGCTTGCATCACCTGTTTACTTGCTAGTAGTTTGTAAGCAAGGCTTAGAGTTCTAGATTACTTTCTTACTAAGGTGAATAGCAGAGACGAGTGCAAGAGCTTCCTTTTCACTTTTACCTTCAAATCGTTCCGAGGGCGCAGCACTGTCCATCTGAGGCACCACACCGTGTTCCTTTTTAAATTTGTCAAACGCTTTCTTGTTGATATCATCTTTTTGATGAGGGTCTATTAGGAACAGACATTAAACAGAATAGTTACTGCAACAAAATTAAAGCCAGATGTAGTAATAAAAACATTGGCAGATTTTTTAAGTTAATAAACACAATCAAAAAATGGTAAAGAGGTTGGTAGATAAAAATCTCTCAGCATCCAATGTATTTTGCTCAAAGTGCCTGGTTTTCGAACTCCTAAGTTGCTTTATACTGCTCAAGTGACTACATCCTCCACACAAACTTAAGCCTGAATCTGCTGCTTCAGTGAGATCAGGAGGGATTACTCCCACAGAAGGGCTGTGGCACAGATCTGTGTTACTCAGGCTACCAGTGTGTCAGGCAGGCAGGAATGCAGGGGAGAGTCTGGATCCTCCTCGTACAGGTATGTGGTTTCGTATGGAGAAACAACTTCAAAACTGTTTTTTCTATAGCTGTGTGTTTTGATTTTCCTTGAGAACAGCCTCCAGAGTCTTTTCTCAGTATCCCAGCTCTCTAGCCTACGTTTACTGTGCAAGGAGATAAGCCACGTTAATTTAGCTGTCTGACTGGTGCTGAATCTCCTTTGTCTTTTTAAAGCGTCTCTATAGACTCATCAATTCTCTTTATTCCAGATGCCTTCAGAGAACAGTTCCACCCGCTCCAGGTATAAAGGAGCCTAGGTAATGAACAGGGCCTAGAATTCTGCATGTGCATGAAGTTAAAAGAATTTCTGAGATTCACTCATGAGGTAGGGACTTATGTGATAGCTATGGGGCTGAAAATACTGAGTCACAGAAATGCTCCTCTCAATTTTCCACCGTACGTTTCTTTTTGGGATATATAGGGCATTTTCTCACAACAGAAACAATGCTGCTCAAAGAAAATTAAGCTGTAGAGAAGCATGCAGACCGTCTTAATACAAAAATAAGCTAAGAAAGATACCAAGCTTCTGGAGGCTCTTTGCTTTATTGATGACATCTTTTGCTGTTCGTTTTATTCCAGTAGTAGAGTGCAAGTTCATGTAATTGGCAATAACTTCCCACCTGAAGCAAGGATAGAAAGGGGAAAAAAAAGCACATTATGTAAAGCTGATCTTCATCCAAATAGAACCAGGCTACTGTACACAGCTGAACACATTTATACCAACCCCTGAGCAAGTTTAAACAGGCTGAGCTGTTACTAGCCCTGTTTTTCCACTGCCCCTCAAAAGAGTGCCTAAACACCAGATAAAGGGGATTCAGCAGGAGAGAACGGGCTCACACCTAGCCCCTGAATTACTCTTAGTGTGTTCTTGCAAAACAGAAGGGAAGCTCTGTACCTGATCAGCCTAGAGGATCAGGTATCTAGGCCCAGGTTCTTGATGAGGACTCTTGACTGCTGTCCAGTCAAGGAAAAGAAGGATATTTAAGGAGTCCTTATACTGACATCATACTTAAGGTGGTCTGAAAATACGCTGTATTACACTTGTTATTTAATTAAAAATTGCTAATAGGGCTTTTAACACCAACACCAAGAAGTACCTTGAATTAGTCCCTGCTGGGAAGAGGTTCACAGCTTTAATTAACAACTGTAGATCATCTTCTGGCCAGTTTTTGCTCCCCCCTCCACCACCAGTGGTTGACTTCTCTGAACTCTTTGTCGCTTGGCGCATACGAGCCTCTGCCTCTTCTTTCTCTCGCCTTATTTGTTCATTTATTTCTTCTATCTGAAGGGTTGTAAATGAGCATTTTTATTTAGGGAAAAAGAACCATGTGATGACAAAAACCCCACTCTCTGCAATTGCTTTGAGCCTTGAATTTTGCTTAGTTTCTGTTCTTCATGTTATACGTAAGGAAATGGAGCTCATCTGCTCCAGTATCATCTCCCTCCATCCTGTGTGTAGATTTGGCCATCCCGGATTTCCACTGTAGTGGATAATCTATCACAAATTCACTAGGAAATTATACAAATGCTCCCAGGATTAAGGCAAGACTTCTGCATATTACTGGAATGTCCAGGCCAACATCTGACACCAAGGGGCAGATCCACAAAAGGATTAAGAGCTTAAACTGGTGACTGGGGGCAGCCCAACATCCCTATTGAGTACCGTAATTCTGAAGCCTTCCAGCATAACTGCTACCTAAACCTGGTTAGGGCAGAAATTCTCTTCAATAGGTTAGCTAAACTAGCATTAATAGCTAAAATTTGGGTTGTTACAGTTAAGTGCTTACTCAGGCTTAGATGGCTATGTGTAGTTTGTTAGAAAGCAATTCAGCAGAAGTTATCTACCATAAGTCATTGTGAACTGTAATCACTTCTTGAGATTGTAGTGTGACATATTCATGTATCTACTTCTGAGTGTGCCAAATCCAGTCTTGGTGACATCAGAAGGCTATGCTCTTACAACCTGCTGGAAGGATGGATGCCCAAAGTAGGTTTCTCCCTATCTTACAATAAAATCTTCCTGGCAAAAGGGAAATTATCTCAAAAGAGAGTTTTTATTAATGCAAAAGTAGAACAGCTTGAACAGAGAGATTAACGTCCTGCGTTTGGAACACTCTGCTGGAAACTGGGAGATTGGATTCAGTCACCTGTAGAACAGAAGCATTTGAATCTTAAGCCTTCGGTTTCCTGATGAGTAAACCTGCCCCTGGGATGGGGACAGATCATCTCCATCAGGAAATAACACTCACAGATCTGACTCCAAAGTGGATGAAAGAAAGCATCTCACTCTCCATGCAAGACGTATTCAGCCTTTTTAGTCGAAATGGCTTTTCCCTGCTGGCATATTTACGCACATCCTTGTGGAGTTTTATGAATCTTGGTCACAAATGTCTTGCTTTTCCTCTACTTTGGCATCCAATCCACTGGCCCTTCCAGCACCTATAGCCTGCAGCATGTAGGTCCTTTTGTGGATCCAGCCCCAGGTCAGGCAGAGTAGAGGCAGGGGTTTTTTTTTTGCGTTTGTAACAGAACAGGGTAAGATGGTACCCATTGTTGGGCAAAACTAAATTCCTCTGCTGTTTCTGTGTACCATACAAACAGTGGGATTTGAGTCTTTTACTAATTAAAAATGCATAAACTCCTCTCAGTTGGCACTGGTTATTTCACCAGCCATGAACTGCACTATGTATAATGTAGTGGAAACCAAATCTGCCCAGAGACCCTAAAACTCAGAGTCCACAGCAGCTATGTTCTATCTTACTTGGATTCAGTCATATAAAATGTCACAAACAAATTATTGTTAATTTGATTTGACACTCAGCATAATTACCTGTTTTACTACAGCCGCCTTTCCTCCTTCCCTTGTTGTGGATGTAAGTGCTTCATTCAAGCATTGCAGACTAAAAATAAATTATTAAGTTACAATGCAGAGCTAG